TTAGTAATCTACTGCCACAGTGCTTACATTTATGCACAAAAACGTCCTACATGGAGTTATGAAAAATGTTAATGTTAATACCTTGGAGAATGTAAAAGGAATTGAAAGTAAAATCAAGTCATTTTCATCTTTTTACCATGTTGCTTTATTTAATTTAATTACATTTTTGGGAAGTCCCATCTTTAAATGCGGGGACAACACACACACACACACACACCACATGTAAGGGTGGCGCTGCCAATAAAGCACCTAAAAGCTGTCACAAAGAACCGGCAAAAGGAATGATTATGAATATGTAAAATATAGCAAGGAGATATTTTAATTGTTTATTAATAAACACTTGTTAATAAACAAGTGTTTTCTTTGTCAGTGTCGGCTAAGATGAAGTTGACGATGCTGACTCGCGATCTTCAGTAGTGAAAGCGCCAGAGAGAAATGCACATTTCATACGGATTACATAAGCAGAGAGCAGTCTGTAGTCTGTTTTCTTTCGTTTAAAAGTAGACATGTCTGTGAGAGGCAAGTAGGCTACCTTATACACTGAGTTTCGGTTCATTTATGAGACGAGATCCAGTTCACGTGCCGGCGCCTCCGTTTCTTATCTATCGTCTGCTATTTACTTCTTATTTATTAAACCCAGGCAATTGGTTGATGAAACATTGATTAAAATTAAGATACAATTAATGCAAAACGAAATTCAGGTTAAAGAAAGGTTTTGTGTTTTCTGTTTGATGTCTCTGTGAAAGTTTTAAAGCATTTTTTATGCCGCTTTCAGAGCGCTCACGTCCGTAACAGAGAACACGTCCATAACATTGTTTTTTCCTCATAAATGCAAACCCGAAAAATAAAATAAAACAAAATTAATATTTTATGTACTGTGGAGACTGAGCACCAACCCTTCTTCATTCGCTGGGTAGTAGCCTACTTTGGTTTGCGCAGTGTAATTCACATAATCAGTAAAAATATATTTTGCCTCCTAAAGTTTTTTTTTTAAGAAATCAGAAATCCCTCGTGGCTACGCCACTGCCACATTTGAACCTGACTGTGTTAAACACACCACATACTCAAGAACATCAAACTAAATGCTTGGCTTACATTAATGTGTAATATAAAATCTGACCATGGAGTTGACTTTGGCGGAAAGCTGAAAGTGATTGCTGATAGGCTGTCCCAATCAGTGGCGCCTGCACAATCCAATCACGTTTGAGAGGGAAACAAACGTTTTTTTTTACTCGGGTACTCACGGTTATGGATAGAAATGTATTGGAGTAAAGAGTACAATATTTGCCTCTCAAATGTACTTGAGTAAAGTCATGAGTACTCCCCAAAAATGATACTCGAGTAAAGTACAGATCCCTCAAAATTGTACTTAAGTACTGTACTCAAGTAAATGTACTCCGTTACTGTCCGGCTCTGCTAAAATCATACCCGCGTCGTTATTTTGGATCGCAGGGGCAGCTAGCATCCAGGGGTTTTAGTTGCTCGTGATTCAAACAGTAGGCTACCAGTGGCTTGAATAGGCTATTCTGTGTCAAAAGACGCGGCTTTTTGTTTTGCCTGTCGTCATTTTTTTTCACAGTGTGCATGGATCTGTGGTCACTCATTGTATCCAGTCTCCTCAAAAAGTGTCAATTTTAACATGCTATATAAAATTATCTGTGGGGTAGCCTATTTTGAGCTAAAACTTCACACACACTCTGGGGACACCAACGACTTATTTTACATCGTATGAAAAGGGCATTATACCAAAGCCTTTAAACTTTAGTTTTTTTTTGTGAGTATAAGTATTTCAATCCTGATTCAAGACAATTCTGTAATTACAGCTACAACTTAAGCAGGCACAAGACAAAATTTACGAAATGGCTGAGACATCAAGATTAGACCTGGATTAGACAGAGAGACGCTTGAAAAAAGGAATGAGGTGATCTATTTTATGACACAGATTAAACACTGTTAGGTACATTACCGTTCAAAAGTTTGGGGTCTGTAATATTTTTTTATGTTTTTGAAAGTCTCTCATGGATCACCAAGGATGCATTTATTTGATAAAAAACTGTAATATTATAAATGGAATTTAAAATAATTAGGCTATATTTTAATATATATATATAAAAAAATGTATTCCTGTGATGGCAAATGGCAGAGAAGAAGACAGGAGGAGACTGAACAGAAGTAGGGCAATCAAAAAGTCCGAGTATGACCGTAGATAACTGTAAATATGTTTTCTGTCATGGGTGTGGCTATGGCAATTAAAATTCGAGCATAGCCTATTGTTTGCAAAATGCAATTGATTAATTAATTAAAAACAAAGTAGTTGATATGCGGTGTTGTTTTTGTTGTTAAGTAGCAGTACGCCGTTATTAGCCGTGTCTACTGTATTTTTGGTGGTTTTCATGGGACCCCCCTTGAAATGACCAGGACCCCCCATTGCCCCCCCAATCAAAATTGTCTGGAGCCGCCACTGATTACATTATAGGCTAATAACCTAGAATGACCTTTAGGGAACGTTCTGTAAGTTATTTTTAAGTTGTTTAAAAACAACTACCCTGCAACATTCTGGTAACGTTGTTTTATGGTTGCAAAATAATAACTTAAAAATAGCCATTGGAACGTTCTATAGCCTAGGCCTATAAGTTATTTTTAGGTTATTTAAAAATAACCTTCCTGTAACGTTCAACGTTATTTTATGGTTGCAAAAAATAATAACTAAAAAGAGCGTTCCTATAACGTTATTATTTGGTGCTCTAAATTTAAAATAACCAAACGGGAACCAAATACTAACGTTGGGGAACGTTCTGTGTTTGCTGGGTTAAACGCAAAAACTCTGCAGCGGCTTACTTTCCTGCATGGCATTGTATAGCCTACAGTACCTATTACGAATATTGTTGGCTCTTTTGTCAGTCGCTTTATAAAAGGGTCTGCTAAAAGCATAAATGTAGCTAAATGTAATGTAAGCATGCACGTTGCACTCCCGTTTGGCGCATGGCACAGCGTTCTATAGGCTACGTGTAAAAGGTAAAAGTATCAACGCAAAAACGCGTTCTTTGTGAATCAACCCATATTATGGTTATTAGATTAAAAAACCTCAGCGAATATCTGGTGATTATTTTCACAAGAATAACATAGTTTGATATTAATCTTATTGTCAGTGAAATTTATGTCAATGTCATAGTAGATTAGTTTTAACATATCACTAGTCTATGACAATAACATTGCCTGTGAAAGCAACAACCTTGGCTACTGGGTCTCTGGTCTGGCCTGAGGTCTCACATTTCACTCGATCATCCAGAAATAACCCAAAGGAGCAGAACAGAATATAAAAAGGAAGCTCTCTCAGTTTGACTTCTGTTCAATACCAAGAATGAAGTCGTCCAATGATGCAGCAATACTGCAGAATGGCAAGCGGTAGGAATACAGCTGCCACATCAAGCTGTCCAGCCACTCACGAAAACAGGCACTAAAATCATCACAAGAGCATTGTTTGAGAGAGAGAGAGTTTGTGATTGGCTTAATTCTTCTCATTGTACTTTTACCTTATTTAATTGTTTTACAGTGTCATACAAGGAACTTGTCAACGTGAGCAGTCTGATGATCTCAGATGTATTAGCTGAATGTGCACAGACGGGTTTATTGAGATATGCATCTCCTGATGTGTAATGCTGCCACACATGCAGGGTGGAGTCATGTTTTTAAAATGAAGAAATGTTTCAAAGATCAAAGGATGTGGTGAATTAAAGGGATAGTTCAAGTTCACACAAAAAAGAAAAGAAAAGAAAAAAGAAAAGAAAAGAAAAGAAAAAGAAAAGAAAAGAGAATTCTATCATCACGTCATTCCAACCTTGCATAGCTTTAATTCTTCTGGAACAAACAAGTGGAATTTTTGAAGTGAACGAGGACATGGCTGTCGAACTCCAAGACAAAAAAGCAATATAAAATGGTTGTAAAGAAGGTTCACAACTTCTGTGCTACATTCCGTGCTATGTGCTAAAAAGAAATAATGTGATGAAAATACCTAAAATGAGTCATTATTCAATGACAATCTTGACATTCATCCTCTGGTCATGTTTGTGATTGAATTGTTCTTTTGTGTCAGATATTTTCAGTGAATCAGGTGACCGGATAACCAAACTGGACTGAATTGATTCATTTGTGAATCAAACTGGTGTTATTCTGGATTTTATAAGTATAGCTACTAGTCAATAATCACTTTTATATTGTGTTTGTCATACAGCTAATGGCTTCAAGAGACATGAAAGAGTTCAGTTGATGTGCGGGCCACTTTTATGATACTATCATGGCGCTTTCATACTCCGGCTTAATTTACATTTATTGATCAGATGATAGACTTAAAAGGTCACTGAACTGAACAGACATTCCACCTCATAACTGTCCTTCACAGAAACCAGACAGGAATTTTGGCTTAGAACCATTGGTAGCCTACAAAAGTCTTTCAATGGGCCACATAGAAACAGGTGGAGGCATACGAAGTGTCCAGCAACACCTTTGTTTGAGGTCACTTTTCAAAACTTGTGTCATGATTAGTCCATCCAATCACCACCTGGCCAAACCTGTTCTACCAGGTAGGCCTAACAGAAACTGTACCAATGATGGCCCTACAGTATTAGCCTATTTCTTTGAGCAGATGCAGACTCTAATGGGGCTTTCACTTACCTATAATATTAAGCTGCTTAACTCTCTCTCACTCTTATAAAGGCAAATTCCTCAGGTTTACCTTACTGGGTGCGCCCAGCCGTGATAATAATGTGATGAATAATGCGTAAGGTGACACGCGGATGAACAAGACGTCATGAGCCTGACGTAAATCTACTACGGCGAAGGGCATCTTATGAATATTAATCAGGTAACACTGACGCCCGTTGCAACTGTCCAATGGCGAAGACATATCTATAAATATTAATTAAGTAGTGCTGACGTTGCGTTGTTACCTTCATAGACAGTTAGCTTCTACAGGCGAATTTTAGATTCATGAATATTAACAAAAACCCTTCGCCATAGTATGATTAGTAAACGCGGCTACTGATCGTCCGTCACATCAGCTCCGCAATACCGGCAAGGAGACAAACAGGAAACTATAACTTAAAGACAGCTGTAAGAGTTTATTTCTTTGTATGAAACGAGTGTATTCCTGTTATTGTACTGGACTAAGTTACCTGTTTTAATTATCTCACCTATTTTGCCGCGGAGACAATGCTTCAGTGTCTATCGGGAGGTTCGTGTGTGCGTGTCATAGAAGGTTACAGGTCTACGTGGTATTTTGTGGTCTTGGTGCTGGCGTATGTGGTGTATCTGATATTGGGGGCTTTAGTGTTTTCCGCGGTTGAACTGCCGTATGAGGAGAAGCTTCGACAGGAGCTTCGGGCCGTGAAGCAGCAGTTTCTAGATGACAATGAATGTCTGTCCGATGAAAGACTTGAGGAGTTTCTGGCTAAAGCATTAGAGGCGAGTAATTACGGTGTGTCGGTTCTCAATAATGCCTCCATTAGCTGGAACTGGGATTTCACATCTGCACTCTTCTTTGCCAGCACTGTGCTTTCCACGACAGGTGAGCACAGACATTCTCTTGACAACACTATGCATTATAGGATTTGTGTGTGTGTGTGTGTGTGTGTGTGTGTGTGTGTGTGTGTGTGTGTTTGTATTTTAACACATTTGATTTACATGAGATAGGCCCTACTTCTGATAATCTGAAGTCATTCTTTACTATTATTCACCCAAGAGGCTCAATGACAGAAAAGAGGCCAGTGATGTCATTTCATTAAGATCGGTCTGTCCTCTCTGATCTGCGATAAAAGCATTATAGCTTCTTAACTTACGCCTGTGTTGTCTGACAAGCTTGGATGGTCTTGTTAAACAGCCCAACATTTACATTCATATTTTTTATAAATACTAAAATATGCTTTAAAACAAGCATGCATGTATCTAGAAAAGAGATATGGTGGGTTCCCTCCCTCCATAAATTGTCAAAAGTCAACAAAGCTTTATGGGCCTGGCCCTGATTGTTAACATTTGCAATATTAATTAGGTACTTGCCAACACATAATAAGACAATAAAAAGGAGGTAACTAAAATATTGTCTTAATCTGCAAAGAGGAAAAGGTAAAAACATAAAACAATAAAATAGAATACAGTGTTTAGACACTCTCTTTCATACACAGAGAGAGAGAGAGAGAGAGAGAAAGAAAGAGAGAGAGAGATAATTTATTTAGCTTATTATTTTATTTTTGTTTTTGTTTTTGCTAATTAAACTAGTTAGCAAAAGTTTTACACAGAAACAAATAACACGTTGCAAAAGATAATTAAGTTGAAATCAATCACATGAGATAAAAACATTTGTTATAGAAAAAAACTGGATGTTATTTCACACGGACCAAGTTGTTTCTAATGGGCTTCATCATTTCAAATGACCTGCAGTGTCAAGCAATTGGCAATCGACTGAGTCACTACCACTAATAGTAACTGTAACATAAGTTAGTGCTCAAGATGCTTTATTAAACATTAGTGTAAAAGTAGCAACAAATAGAACACCAAATACTTTATTTGGGACCACTTTTGAACATTTTCTGTTCTAATGATAATGACCATCCTCACAGGTCCATTTTTAGAGGTTTTAGTATATTTATTAGGATACTCTTACATATAGCAAGTGCATACTCATATATTTGCAGTCCCTGTGGAGCCCTAGTGGTTTTGTAATTCAATGTGGATGATCTGTGGGCAATTTGAAGGGTGTCTGAAGGATAAGCATGCAGTGTGTGTAGTGTTTCCAAGGATTATGTAACTTAATCGAGCAGTATTTAAGTACTACAAAAGGAAACACCCTTGCATTCCTGGTGACTTTTCTTTATGTCATTAAGATGATGTTTAATACACAAATTAACTGGTTCATTAGAGTAAAATGCTAGATTGTCTTAGAATGTACAAAATACCTTTTCAAAGAGCTTCATGTTTTCTTCCAGGGTATGGCCACACCGTTCCTCTGTCGGATGGGGGTAAGGCCTTCTGCATCATTTACTCAGTGGTGGGAATCCCATTCACCCTGCTGTTCCTGACTGCGGTGGTCCAGAGGATCATGGAGTTCAGTACCCGCAGGCCTGTGGAGCATCTGCACCGGCGCTGGGGCATGTCCAAACCTCTGCTGGCCGGCCTGCACGCTGCCCTACTGGCCATTATTACCATCTCCTGCTTCTTCCTTATACCTGCCATCATCTTCTCAGTACTGGAAGAGGAGTGGAATTTCCTAGAGTCCTTCTATTTCTGCTTCATCTCTCTTAGTACTATTGGCTTGGGTGATTATGTGCCAGGAGAGGGCTACCACCAGAGGTTCAGAGAACTCTATAAATTGGGCATTACCTGTAAGTGCACAGTCAGTTGAATCCTTATTGATGTACAGAGCCATATATTGTACATTTCATTTGAATTTTACTTTCTTACATTCACACATGCACTACCGTTCAAAATGTTTTCTTAATGTTTTTTAAAGTCTCTTATGTTCACCAAGGCTGCATTTATTTGATCAAAAATACAGTAAAACAGTAATATTGTGAAATAGTATTACATTTAAAACGACTCTTTTCTCTTTTAATATATTTTAAAATGCAATTTATTCCTGGGATGGCAAAGCTGAATTTTCAGAATCATTACTCCAGTATTTAGTGTCACATGATCCTTCAGAAATCATTGTCAAATGTCTTATTATTATCAATGTTGAAAACAATAGAATATTTTTTATTGCAATGTAGAAGTATTTACTGTCACTTTTGATCAATTTAATGTATTCTTGCTGAATAAAAGTATTAATTTCTTTCCAAAAACAATATCATACTGACCTGTAACATTTGAATGGAAGTGTATGTGGTAGGGACAATGAAACATTTATCAGAACTTTAACTTTGGACTTGAACTTTATCTTAGTTTGCTAAAGAGATACATCAAGGGGTCATTATCCATCTCCCTTTAACCCTATCTGTCTTTCTCCTATACAGTCTATCTGATATTGGGCTTGATCGCGATGTTGGTGGTTCTGGAAACCTTCTGTGAACTTCAGCAGCTGAAGAAGCTCAGGAAGATCTTCTACATAAAGAAACAAAAAACAGAGGACCAGCTTAACATCGTGGATCATGATCACCTCTCCTTTGCCTCTGTGTCTGACCCGGCATCCTCATTTAGAGAGGATAAGACTGATCTGTTTCCTGACGAAATGGTCTCCACCTCACCTACTCCTACCTCTAATGGACCAATGGACCAATGAGGCATCCTGAAATTCTGTATCTAGAACCCGACACATCAATGTTTCTGAAGCACCTCCACTAAGAGCATAAATGTATTGTTAGGTTTCTCTGCTGTTAAGTTAGCTAAAACGTACCATAGATATGAATACTTGAAACACCGGCTAAAGGTAAGTTACAGTGCTGTGGAAAAGGATTGTATGAATTTGTAGAATAGTTCATAATATCACAATATCAGAAATTCTTCATGCAGCTACTGAACTGAAAAACGTGTTGTGACCAAGGTGCGTGCGCGCGCATGTGTGTGTGTGTTTGTGACGGATAAATCCATCAATGAATTCTGAAAATAAATAGTTAACTGGTAAGTGGTCATAGACTAGCTGTACATATTCCGGTTCTTGTTAGGTAACTTAAAAGGGATCCATATCTTGTATTGTAGGTTTACAGATGTAATAATGTAATCATGTTTTCTGGCTATTCTAATTTGAACAATTGCTTTAGGCTGGAATATACCACACATCTTTTGTACAGATTCTTGCCCTGATTGCAGTCTGAACAAGTCAGCGCTACACTCTTAAAAATAAAGGTTCTTTATTGGCATTGGTGGTTCCATGAAGAACCTTTAACATCCATGGAAACTTTCCATTGTACAAAAGTTCATTTATAGTAGAAAAAGTCATTAAAGTCATTTATAGTCATTAAAAGTTCATTTATAGTATACTAAAAGGTTCTTTAGGGAACCATAAATGCATTAACATTAACATTTATTTTAAAAGTCTGAGGCATGCCAATTTTAGGCAGTCGGTGTAGACAGATTTAGCAGAAAATCATGTAGTGTAATACAGGCACAGACTCCGATTTTTTTTTTAAAACTTATTATTCCATCCAAGCATTCCGTCAAAGGATATCAAACATGTTATCAAACTATTGTTTTCATTTGGCAGCAACAATGTGCACAATTATGCCTAATTTTGTTGTGTTCATAACTTGAAAGTCTGGTAGTGTTTGATCCTCAGTCGTTTAGTGTAAAGGTTGTGTAGTGTATTCCTGCCTGAAGCCTATTCAAAGTCTGCAAGTGTACGATGCCTAGTGTTTTGTTTTTTTCTCCATTAGATTTTTAGACAGGGGCAGGTCCCTGGTGACTTCTTTTTCCTTTTTTTTAACATTCCATAATGCTTAAAGGGAATTTAAAATATATTTTTAGTAGAGGCATAAGACAATCAAAAAGCTGTATAATTAATTTATCTACTGAAGGGATTATTGTGTTTTTTGCCTTTAGTAATGTTGGCTCTTCTGAAGCAGTTCTGTTTGTTGCAGTAGGCATTGTCCACCACCTAAGGGTGCTGTAGTGCCATTTGTGTTGTATTGTAAGCAAAAAACAGAAGTCACATCAGTGCATCAATATGCTCTTCTGAGTGACTGGGTATATTGCTGAAGGAAATAAATCTAATTTTATCATTAATTTATAGTTTTCAGTTTTATATTTTAATTGTATTTCACATGCCTTAAGATGCTGGAAGTTGTGCATTTAATGTATGTTTCAAGTCGCACTTTATCAAAACAGAATAAACTGGTAATAGATCATGTGATTGTATCGTGTCCATTCTTCAGCAAATAGCAAGATGCTGTACAGTACATACACAACAGAACTTGCAGGACACATATTAAAAAATAATCCGAACTCATCTCCTGCACTTCGTACCCCTATCATTTTGCTAGGCTATATATTAAAACCTTGCTGAGTGTGGGCGCTTTGTGGACCCGAGCAGCTGTAAGGTCTGTTAACAGTCTATCAGGATGCCTGCTCCGTGCTGTTAAAAGAGATATTTACTCTGCTGTTTGAAAGTGAATTTGATGCCATCCTGTAATTGTGGTGCTGAAATTGAGCCGAGGTTATGTTAACAAGGCCCCGCAGCTGAGCTCACCTTGATAAACTTGAACAGGGCATATTTCAATAAGTTGTCCTCTGCTTAGAGCATGTGAAACTATAAGTGACCTTCTTGAGTTCCCCTAGACATTCACCTGAATGTTGCACTCATTATCATCACAGCATAAGATATTGTTGAGAACGGTGAGTTTGACAATGTATTTTGCTTGTATAGGCGATATAGGAGTTTATATTTCAGGGGGTTCTCCAAAGGTAAATAATTCCTTCGTATCATGGGAAAACTATGTTTTTTTTTAAAATATATATGTGGTATTCAGAATGATTTCTTGTTAGTATCTGTTGTTGTTTTTTAATTCACTATTACCATTCAAATGACAATATAATTTTTTCCCCATACCTCAGATCTCAGTAATGCTTCATTTACTGTACTGACTTAATATGTTTCTTCTAAAATTCTTAAGGAGAAAAAAATAGGCACAATAGTTATTTGTTGGCAAACAGTAAAAGTACACATCTCAATATTAATGAATGTGAATATGGTTATTATAGCAAATACTTAAATACATTTAAACAATAAAAAAGTAGGAAATCAATATAAATAATTTGGCTTCAGAAGTATTTGATGAGAAATATTTGAGATATCTGACTGTCAACAATCTGAGACATTACTGAAATATCTTCGGAAACTCCAGAACACAAGATCAAAAATCTCCATTTGATCTCCATTCAGTCTCATTGTTATCTAGGAGAAAGAACATATATATTTAAGAGATCTCTTGAATTTACTTTTCCATTGAAAATTGGAAGTGTGGTACTAAAGGTAAAGGTATTTTGTCTGACTGTTGAAAGATTTACTATACATACAACTATACATATTACATTTCCCATATTTATTTGAAGATATGACATAACAGCAACATAAATTAAATTTAAATAATTTCACTCAGCTTATAGGTTAGATGTCTGAAAGAAAGATGTCTAAAATGTACATTTAACTTATGGAATTACTGAATATAACCCCATGAATTACAATAAATATTAAATTAAAAATAATAACACTAGTAACATGCAACTCTGTGGGCCTTCTGCACCAAATCATGGGGGAACCATCTTACCCCAAGGGTCTAATTTTATATTTCACTTCGGAAAAAACATCTCGCCCCAGGTGGCATCCCTTCTGTTCTCCTTGAAGAGAACAAACTATTGGATACTGCAGTTGTTATTTATAAATGTCTCCTTTTAACTTTGCCTTTGGTTTGTCCTTGATAAATGTGAATGATCTCCACCAGCGCTTTGATAGTTCTCACCCAGGATTTTTCAATTAAACTCCCTCTCCCATGGCCTGTGTTTATCCAAGCCAGTCTACTTCATTAGATGTAAGGTCTCGCTACAGTGTGTGCCAAGCTCAATCTTGAGTTAAGCATATGCAGTGGCTTCTCCCCACGGCGTTCTCCAACGGAAGGTGTTAGGAGGGTATTGATGGCGCTGTCAGAAGTTTTTGCTTAGCTAAGCACAGGTCTCCTGACTGAGGAGGTGGAGACGGATCTTCCGATCGATAGGTGCCAACCAGTTACAATGAACTCCCCTTCAGACACACACACACACATACCGTGGCTCACACCCCCACTGCTAGCCATCTTTCAAAACCTGGCTGTGGACTGTGAGGCTGCCACACTGCAGGGAAAAGATCCCCACACATGATGTGCCGGCACAATGCAGAAAGGGGACCAGACTCCAGCACCCTGTGTGCAACTATATCCTCAAAAAGACAGGTAAAACTTATACATTTGATTAAGTGCTGAAAAGCTAATCTGAGTGACATTTTAATGACTAAATGGCATTATGATGATTTTAAGGTGTTTTATTAAGACTGCTTTGATAACCAGCATAGATCTTTTAATCCTTAACTTACTGTCTTAAAGTCTTGTTTTTTTGTTTCCTCTGCTATTTAATTTAGAAATCTGGCTTTACATTTATTTATTTATTTTATAACAGGCAGCAAATGCACAGGTTTTTGTTGCAATTTTGTTCATGTGAAATATAAAATTGGTTATTTGTCTTTGTTAAATTTGCTAAAATAACGGGTAACACTTTACAATAAGTTTTCAATGGTTAACATGAATTATATTATTTAACATGAGCAATGAACAATACTTCTACAGCATTTATTAATCTTAGTCAATGATATAGTTTCAACATTTACTAATGCATTTTTAAAATCAAAAGTTGTTTTAGTTAATGCACTCTGAACTACGAACAAACAATGAACAATTAAATTTTTACTAATGTTTACAAAGATTAATGATTTAAAAATGATATCTCATGATTATTTTAAGCATTATGGTTAGTTAGATAATGTATTAACTTTAACAGATGAGACTTTATTGTAAAGTGCTACAACAGCAGCAATGAAAATGCCATAAATTAGCGAAAAAGTAAATGTGGAACTTTGATTATGAACTGTATATGTGAAAAATAACATGGTGTTTGCTAAGGTCTGCATCACTAGGTTATAATTGCTCATTTAATTTTTTATAGATTTATTGATTGAAAAATAGATTGAACTTTGCATCAAACTTTACCATGCAACTCCATTCCACAACGTTTGTGTCATGACTGAGTTCTTAAATCATGTGGCTTGATGATGAGATATTGCTGTGATATGCACTTTTCTTTAAGTTTAAGATTTTTTTTTGATGGACAATAAAATGCAGGTAACAAAATCTCATAGATTTACTCTGAATGATTAAACAGAGTGTTTGTAATGCACAAAACAAATGCTAATAACCAGCCAGAATGCATTAGCAACCGCATAGCAACACCCTGGTAACCACCCACAACACCATAGAATTGGTGTTATTGAGTTTTGCATGGTCAGGTACCACTCACATATCTTCTGGAATGTAAAAAATTATGCATATTATGAGCATGTATGATGGGATCAGTCTAAAACTTTGTGTGGGGAAAAAAACAGGCTTTGCCATGTTGTCTTCATGGGTAGCTTACCTACCCCCAAGATCCACTTCCTTCCTCATCTAAGTCTTGGCCAGTTTGCTTCTTTCCCCCTGCCATGCACTGGCTTCTCTGTTGTGCCAGACAGATGGGCTGTGCTGGGCTGCTGTGTTTGCTGCAATAGCTGGTCACCTAAAGGAAAATACACATTGCTTTAGCCAGATTTAATGTGCATCACAAGAGCAACACAACAAGGAT